AGCTTGAAAGGCTGTAATCAGCTTCTGGAAGCACGTGCCTTGAACGGCAACCTCCTTTTTATCTCGAATCCCATCGAACATCTTTACGAGGTATATCTGCTCTGGTAATTCCCGGCCTCATCAGCGAGACCCTATCACGATCTAGTTCCGAATTCAATCCAACTTTTTGGGGCAGGCAGAATTCAACAGCCCCCCCCCCCCCCCCCCCCCCCCCCACTCCTGCGTTATATGATTATATTTCCAATTGCTGTATCAGACAACAGTTCCTAGTATGTGGCTAACGCATATGGTAGTAACCACGGAAGCGCCATGGGAGCGTTCACTATTCTCCACGCCTCTATCACAGAATACTTGATATTCTATGGCACTCCTATCTATTCCAACGGACATTCTGGCCTTCACCTGGCTGATGACTACTTTGTCATTCTCAATGGCACAGAAAAGGCCTATAGACCAGGACACCTGGAGGCCACCACATACTGGCCTGGAGATGTCAACCACTTGCCCAGAGGACAGTCAATTCATTATGCCATGGATGGGTGGGCTTTAGAGTTAGCGCAAGGTAAGTTAACTTTTGCATTTTAAGTGAATGGAATAATCAGTATATCCAGGAGTGAAATGCTAATATGTATGGATTGTAGGTTGGATTCCAAGCATGCTTCCGTTCGGACTGGTGGAGTCATTTACTAGCAACCTTGACTTTGTCAATCTTTGGAAGACTTGCTACTTGACTGCGGAGCTGATGGGGAGGCAGCTGGGACTTGGAAAATTTTGAAAACAGGCAAACACAGCGTCGGACATTTCGAGGAGGAGTAACGCCGGATGTAATATATAGTTCGGGTAATTCATTGGATAGAGCGAGTGGGTGTCGGCTATTTCTCTTTGTTTCTCTCAGTATTTCATTATTCCATGCGGCTAGTCTAATAAAATGAGCAGCAAGAATGGAGATGGATGCTTAACAATGACGTTATATCCTACGACTGAATACACGATAGTCAATTTAGGGTATTCCATACACAGATCTTAAATGCATGCCATCTAGTTTAAACGCCATAGAGATCCTGAATTGATAAAGACGCTAAGTTAAATGGGTCTAGTTAAATGGGTCTAGGTAGGGGGAATACTTAATCGGTACAGTCAGCGAGACAAGCAAAGGAGGTATTGTGGGGAAGTGAAAAGAAAGAATGGGGAAGGTAGTAGATAGAAGTGGTACAAAAGGAAAAGGACTGGAAGCTGTCAGGACATGAACTCATATAAAAAGAGCTAATAAAACTCTTGCCATTTTCAGTTGTAGTCTTTTATTGCGTCTTTTTTTTTTTTTTTTTTTTTTTTTTTGCTCCTCTTTTCAGTCTTCAAAATCAACACCGACTGGCTGATTTACTCGGAGGGCTGAAGACGAAGCGGT